TTATTATTATTATTATTATTATTATTATTTTCTCACCTGGTCCATTATACTCCTATGAGTGAAACCATCCAGAATTTTTCCTTTGCTTTCTGCTTTAAGAAAATAGGTATTTTTAAATATTGCAAGTGAAAAGTAATTTCCATAGATTGAAATTTAATTTTTTTAAAGATTTATTTATACATACAGAACTGGGGTACAAGCCAGGGGTATGGGGACAGTGAGAGGCTTCACCAGAGACAGAGTGGGGAGCAGAACAGGTAGATCTACGAAAGTACACTGCTGAGGGGAGCAGCAGGTGGGTCAGGAGAGGTCTGCCATGCCAGGTGGATCACCTCCGGAGCGGGGATCAAATTTTCACTGAAAAGGCTGTGGCTATCTTGCAGTGCTACACACTAACCCGTTGAGCCACCAAGGAGGCCAGATTGAAGTTTAATGTATAATGTGTAAAAATTTAAAATACTTAAGGTTCATTTTGGATGTTCAAGATATTTCAAATTAAAATGAAAAAACATGATTATCATATATTTTCTTGAGAAACTTAATAATGATATTATTATGCTTTGGAAATTAGCTCTCAAAGTTGCTTTCAAAAATACAGTGCAATGAGAGATTTTTAAGAACTTTTTACTAAATAGTGATTATGAAAGTCATTAATGAATGGCACGTGCTAGTTGAATTGGTTTTATGATTCCTTTATATTTTCCCACCTTTTTGTACAGGCAGTTGCTTATTGGCATTAATAATGAATTAATAGTTTCCTGCAGGGAAACTATAGATCTGAGGCATACACAAGTATCAGAGGGAGAGGGGCAGATCAAATTAGGGGAGAGAAGAGCATAAGGGACTATGGTGAGGGGTGATGTGGTGGTGGGAGATTTATAGAAACTATACCTGAGTAGGGAAACAAAGCATTGTATGATTATGAACATCAATATAAGAAAACACAGTTTAATTAAAAAAATGAATTAGTAAAAATTAATGAAAACATTTGAAAATGATGTATTTGCATTCCATATTCAAATACTACCTTATTTATTGAAACTACTTTTTATGTTTTCCTTCTTTAATATGAATTAAAGAAATGAAGAATAGCCTCAAATTTTGTTTAAGTTTACACACTAAGAGATATTTAATACTGTTGAAAAATAGAGAAATGATTCCTCTATTAGTTGTTTTGACACCATCATTTCAAATGGCATCCATTTCCACGTCTTTGCCTACAGGATTTCAGCTTTATAGTCCGGGAATCAGAATGATCATAACAAAGAAAAAGTTCGAAATATTAACATTAGATGAACCTCAGGGAGTTTTAGGTAACTAGTTATATATATTATATCACATGCATATATATCTTATATATATTATATGCCACAGATACAGTTTTCTGCATATGTGGTGTTACATAGTTATACATAATACATATACAGTATACATAGATATTATGTGTTTTAGGTAACATATATTACTTTATATAACAAAGTTATATGTTATATAACTTTGGGTAAAATGTCATGTACTATAGAAGTAACCATTTATTTATTTTTTAAAGATTTATTTATTTATGCATACAAGAACTGGAGTATAGATCATAAGTGTGTGGGTGAGAGGATTCACCATAAACAGAGTGGGGAGCAAAAAAGGCAGTGAAATACACTGCTGAAGGCAGCAGTAGGTGGGACTGGAGAGGTCTGTCCAGAGATGTGGTTCTCCTCCCTGGCTGCAGTGGCTGTGGATAGCTTCATAGTGCTGTGCTTTTAAACTGTGTTCCATCAGGAAGGGCCCTAACCATTTCAGACTTTTAGGAAAAGAAAGGCATAATATTTTATGTCATTTCTTATGGAATATTAAGAAATAAAGTAAATGAGTAAATTAAATGAAAGCAAAATAAACCATTAGGTTTGAAAATTAATTGTCGTTAGTACAGGGGAGTAGGCGGGGTGGTAACCAAGAGCAAGGATCTGATAGGTTGGTGGTACTTTTGCCTGGACAATTGGTAGTGGATATGGTGTGATACACACATTTACTGAGATGAGGAACTCTATAGACCCCTAACCAACTTACATAATGTAAATCGATGTATCTCAATTCAGAATGAAAGTATACAGTTCAGTTCATTTATTATAGTTATTTCTAGAAATTTTATTTTAACTTAAAGTGGATGCTGTTCAGATGAGTTAAAATGAATAAGTCCATGCACATGCTGGTGGGAGAACTATGGATCCTTGCTTTTAGGGGAATAAGTAAAAACCTGTCCAAAAATTAGTAATGTCAGAAAATAAACAATTTCATTTAAAAAGTTTAAGTACTAATCGTAATTTCCACTTTTTAATTTTGCATAATATTCTAACTTCAACCTGATAACCACATGAGTCTTTTCTCATACATCAACTTCCTGCTTGTACTTTTGTCTCATTCCTAAATTCCCTTGAAGATTCCTTTATTATTTGTATTTCTTTTAAATGAGAGTGCTTAAATAGCATTTCCTTTTGCAAACTGCAGCCTATTTATAAAATATAATATGAACTATAGAAGGAAAGATCATAGGTGAATATAATACAGCTTTATTGATCACACATGGTTTTATTTTTTAGCAATTTTGCCTTTTTCCACACATATCTAGGATGGCTATTTTTGTTATATACATGCAAACTTCTTTTAAATGTGGTCTGAATAGCCTTTCATGCTGTGGACATTATGACCAATCAAGATTCTTACATTTTTAAATACTCTTAACAATTAAATTTGTTATTTTAACTAGTTAAAACCAAAATAACTATACTTTTTATTAGATACTGGACATGTTAATTTCATAAAGTCATATGTATTAAGCACACATAAAGAGTATCAGAAGCTCGGTGTAATTCTAGTATTTTTTACTGACTCATTTCATATTTACTAGTGTGTATATGATTCTTGTGGTAAAATTATGTTTAGAGTTTGTACCTAAAACTTTTTTTGTGTTGTCACTGTTGGTATGTTTTCATAGAGATTTAGCTAGATTTGTTCAATTCAAAAGTAAATATATCATTACATCCTTACCTTTGTCTATGGTAAAATAAAAATACATGCAATAAAACAAAAATGTACTATAGAGTATTTTTATGCTGTTATTAATCGGAAAGTGGCAATTTATATTTCCTTGACACTGATTTGCTAAATAGCCATTTTTTATTTTTGCAAAATATCCTGTTATGCAGTGTGTAAGGAGGTGAAATTAAAAAATGATGTGATCTACCTCAGTGAGCTAAAAACCTAGAGGTGAAATTTAGTAGAATCTGTGCAAAGTAATATTAATTATGAAGAATTAAGGGGATTAATCAAAAAAATTCAAATTAACATATGGTGATAAACTAAAAATAACAGCATTTTAAAATAAAACTTAGGTTGGGGGCCTCCCTGGTGGCGCAGCGGGTTAAAGCACAGCACTGAGAATCTAAAGCCGCTCCGCATGAGTTCGATTCCCGCCTGCCCCGGAGGTGACCACATGGTGTGGCAGACCTCTCCTGACCCACCCGCTGCTCCCCTCAGCAGTGTACTTCATCAGTCTTCCTGTTCTGCTCCACTCTCTGTCTCTGGTGAAATCTCTCACCACCCCTGAGCCTCTGGCCTGTACCCCAGTTCTGTATGCACAAATAAATAAATCTTAAAAAAAAAAAAAAAAAAAAAACTTAGGAAAATACACTATTACCACAGAAATAGAAATTTGGTTAATGTATAAAATTGACTAGCTCATCATATTAAATCATTAACTCATTTCATAGATACTTTATTACAGTAAAACTTGCATACATTTCTTTAGAAATGGCAGAGCAATAATATGAATATGGAAATAAAATAAAGATTAAATTTCATTAGAATTATAGTAAAGGTTAAATATATAATCCTCTAATGTCAGTAACTAGTGATAGTATATGTAACTATTGATAAGTCAGTAGTTAATAAAGGTAAATAAAGGGTAAATAAAAATCATCTTTTAATCATAAGTCATTTGGTACAAAACATTTGAATTTTTATGTTTTATTGCTTTAGGTCATTAACTAGTAACAGATATTTGTTGGATAACAGTCATGTATTAAGTTTTACTTTAGCCTATTGGAGTTAGTCTCATATACCAGGTCAGTTTATTTTGATTTGTTGTCACATGCTCTATGGTCTTTGAACATCCTTTGCAACTCATAGTGTGGGTATTAAGGAAGACTAAATGAAAGCAAGGTGAAGGCTAAAACTTGTTTAGATGATGTCAATTTCAGTTTTGTGGCATTATCAATGTATGCTTAGATTATTTAAACTACTGCAACCATTTTAAAGACTCACTGAAGTAAATATGCAAACATTATGATATATTATTTTCTGTGCCTCTGATATATTGTTGAGACTTCTTACTCAACAATTAAAAAAAAAGCCATTCTAAAAACTTTACTAATTT